AGCTTGAACTCGAGCTCGAGTTCGACTCGTGAGCTCGATAAGCTCGACTTGCGAGCCCATAAACGAGTTGAGCTTGAGCCGGCTCAGCTCACTTATGCCCCTAGGTAGGATTAAATATAGATTTAAATTGATTATTTATTAGATAATCGTGAGTGTACACCTGGAAGGAAGTGTAGAAATTATGCAAAAGTGCAATCTAGGCTTATGTCTTCATGGAGTGGACAACTAACCACCTAAAGTGTTTTAAAACCATGAGTTCAGGTCTAATGTATGCAAGTAGGGGTGTCAATTTTTGACACGACCCCCGAATCGAACCAGAACCCGACCTGAAAAAAATTGGGTTTGGGTCGACTCGTTTATGAAATTGGTCGGGTCCAGGTTCAGATTTCTGACTTGTATGAAAAACGGGCTGGGTTCGGGTTGACCCGAGAACTCGCAAGTCAACCCAACTAACTCGCAACGGACCAGTCCGCACTCCGCTTCTACCGGCCTACGCCCTACGGCCTTACGGACCAGCGACTGCCCCAGCCTCCTCCAGCCTACCCTATGCCAGTGGTTCACTACCCGCATCCTGCCTCTTTTGGCCTACAACATGACCCACTTCGCCCGTCGACCCACCAAGCTCCACCGCGCCAGGTTGCCTCACCCAGGCCGGTAAACCCTACGTGTTCAACCTAATCGCCATTCGCTCACGACGGACGACGCGCTCAGCCCAATCACCAACTCACCATTTGCCCACGACGTGCTCATCTCAGTCACCATTCGCGAGTTTGCGGGTCAGGTCGGATCAACCCGGCAACCCATTCGGGTCGGGTCTGGGTTAAAAATGAACCATTTAGCTAAACAAGTCGGGTTTGGGCCAACCCGTATATGCTCGGGTCAAGTCGAACTTGACCTGTTGACTCGAATTGACACCCCCATATGCAAGACAGATAGGCTCTTGTTTAGACTGGAATCATGGATTTTTAGTTTAGACTTTAAATCAAAATTTTTGAAGATATATGGGGTTCAAATGTACCTAACTAATGCGATTTAAAATGTTGTTTCCCTAAACTCTAACACATCTTTGCCAATTTCAGCTCTTTGTTTCCACTTAACCTATCGTAAGCATCTCCTCTTTTAGCACCCCACTCTGATTGTCTTAGCTCTTATCCTCCATCACAAATCCTATTGTTTGCTTCCCAAAAAACCCTTAACAACTACATGACCAACTACCAAACCTTTTGGGCCATCCCAAACTATTTAACAGTAACTTTATATTTGTCCTTGGTGGAGTCACCAGAAAAATCCATGGAAAAATATATTGTGCACTGGATTTGCACTTTAAGTTTCTATAATTAAATTTATAGTTAATAACATAATATCTCGAAAGATAGACTGGTGTTTCACTTTTGATTTTATAATAGAAATGAAATTTATTTTCATAATCAAACTCAACATAGAAAATACACCATTTGTCTCAAAAAGAAAATAATATTCAACCATCATTTTGACAATGAAATTAAATCAATGATAAACTTTAATCTATGTCTATAGATTTTTCTCTACTCTAATAAACTAAAGCAAGGTTTATTTTGTTTACTTGGTTCTAGGCTATTTATAGATATAAGCCTCTATAGTTAAGTACATCCTAAGAGAAGTCTTAAGAAAACTCTCGATTAAATTAGTGACTAAACTTTTTTAGATTTACAATAATTACAAACATGAATTATTTCAAAAATTATAAAAACAGGGAATGGGTTAAAGTGTGAACACTTATTTTCGTGGTTTGTAGAAAGAAAGGTAGAGAGTGTTTAGGATTTTGGAATACTAGAAACATTCTAACCTATATTATAGTTTGGATTTATCAATTTATAATAGGATTAATTATATATTTAAATTGACGATTTATTAGATAATTGGGAGTGTACTCTTGGAAGGAAGTGAAAGAATTATGCAAAAGTGCAGTCTGGACTTACGTCTTCCTAGAGTGGATTGCTAGCTAACCACCTAAGTCATTTTAAAATCATGAGTTCAGGTCTAATGTATGCAAGGTAGATAAGCATTTGTTTAGACTGGAATCAATGATTTTTAGTTTAGACTTTAAATCAAGAATTTTGAAGATGTTTGGAGTTTAAATGTAACTAATTAATGCGATTTAAAACATTTTTCCCAGGACTGTAAATCTTTTAAAATGCTACTAATGCATTCTATATGACTGGCTTTTTAAGAAAAATCTGACAACATAATGATCCTATACCAACATAAATAGCAGACTCGGCCCCGTTGCTTAAACTGTCGCTCTCTTGTTACAGGCTTGTGTGCGTTGGTTTTTTTATTTAGTAGAAAAGTAAATATGCATGCCATGTATGCAAGTATAGGTGTAGGTGTTGGGATATAAAGGTATATGTCTGTAGAAACCTAAGAGCCTACCGTATATGTCCAGGCAAAGACACACACCGCCAAGAAACCTAAGAAAACATATAATTTCTAATTGTAAATCATTTACAAATCATGAATGCATATATGTAAGTGAATGAACTAGTATAAAAGAAAGTTTGTGACAATCCTGCTATGTAGTATAAATCAGAGTCTACAACAAAGTAATGGTGGTCAAGTTCCACCGACTACAATCTTAGATTTCTACCCATATACAATGATGTAAATCTTTATAAATGTAATTGCTTACTTGATTGTATTCAGGCTGCAGGAATCAGGCTCCAGTTATGAACAGTACGGCCTATAAGCTTATTATAACCAAAGAGTTGTAATATTATAGGTTCTCTTTCCTAATTGTGATGTAAAATTATGTGCCCGTATTATTTTTCTTTAATTTTGGTGAACTGATGTTTATGTAAGAATATTATTTTGGTTTTTTCTTTAATTGTCATAATTATCACAATAACTTGGATTGTTTTATTATTTTTTCTTTGCAGGGAATCTGATATAACCAAAGAGCGCATTGAAAAACTACTGAAGGCTGGAGCTAATGTTGTTCTCACATCCAAGGGTATTGATGACATGGCACTAAAGGCAAGCACTTCTCACCCTACTTTTTATTTTTTACATTTTTAATGGGAAAGTCAATTTGCATACGTAAAAATGTTTGTAATGGTCTTATTATGTATTCAGTTTAATTAATGTTATGCCATTCATTTCAATAATGCTTGGTGCTTTATCTTCTATTGTTAGGGAAACATAACATTTTGCAAATTTATCTATTATTACAACTTATGGGGTAATCTCCTGATCAGATTGGTTTCTTTAGTTAAAATTTTGCTCATGCCCATTGACTAAATAATTAGGGTGTCTTTTAGGATGGCAAAAAGTATCTCTGAGTGGACCTCAAGTCACAAGGCCACCCAACAAGGCTTTTTGATTAAGTGGGTTATGTTCACAACTGAGAGACTTTTGTGCAAGAAACTAGAGCGGGAAGAGGCATGGGGAAGCTAAGCTTTGAGAGCTTTCTTAAGATAACCATGTCCAAAACATCCACGAAGAAGGTATATATTTAGGATAGTAGGATTAATGAAAGATGGGCTTTCGAAAATGGAGAAGAATGAAAAAGACTAATTTGTGAGGGTAAATGGAAGACATGGGAGATAGAGAGGATGTGAGGATCTTGTTGTTTTTGCAACAAGTGGTGGCTTGGTAGTGACCACATGGAGGGTGGAATGCATTATAGACTAGAAAAGGGGTGGCCTTGCCTAGAAGGAGAGGAGAAGACGTTGATGAATGTCATGTGGGTGGTGGCCACACTTTTTGGTGATGATAGTGTTGACCTTTTGGAAGAGAAAGTGATCCAGTTTTGAAAGTCTTTGTTGGAGGTGGCTGGAAAATAGTATTATGATTATAGGAGCCATTATTAAATGAATGGTGATGGACCAATATCGTTTAGGTAGATGATCCGTATCATGTAATATTTTGTAATGATTAAGTTGGTATTATTTCGTGCTTAGATTGGGGCATTTCATATAATGTTGAGGTTATAATCAAAGAGCCGAGTTTGTCTTGGACAAAATTTTGTGGTGCATTGGTTTTGAAACCTTAACTGTCATATGTTAACATTCGATAAACTACTACATTTGATAAAATATTCCACATAAATTTCTACACACATTCATTTTGTGTAGTTCAAGTTAGATTGTTGAATTGGATGAATTCACCAGGTCTATTGTGTGATAGAAAAGTACCCCTCAAACTTAAGAGAAAACTTTGTAAGATGGTGGTGAGACATGCAACGCTTTATGGTTAGAGATGAGGATGCTCAAGTGGATTAGTGACTTAGAGACATAATGCGAAATGAGTATATACGTGAAAAAGGTTGGAGTTGCTCCAGTGGCAGATAAGATTAGAGAGAGTTGCCTTAAATGGTTTGACCACATAATACATCGGCCTTTTGATGGCCCCGTTAGGAGAGTAGATGTATTAAGGTAGAAACATACCTAAAAAGTCTTGATTAGAAAGTAGTAAAAATGACATTTTTCATTGAATTTAAATGAGTATTTGACTCTTAATCGGACACAATGGAGAATAAAGGATTCTTGTAGCCGACCCCTTGTGGTGGGATAAAGTTTTGTTTTTGTTGTTGTTTTGCATATGTATATATATTCATGCAACTTTGGCTGTTATCTCAAATATCTATGATGTTTGAACTAATCCTCTATTGCCTAACTTGCTTTTTTCCTGGTGACATGGAATAATATACCCTTTTTTTATCTCTAAGCTGCAAACCTGAATTATCAGGACTTTCTAACAGAAAATATCTGTCTCATATGATGTTAACACAAATCAAATATCATTTGATGCGCATGATCAAAATGCATTAATAAAGATGGACAAAGAAAAGAATTGGCAGTAAACAGAACCCTTATATTGGTATTATATAGATTTGAGGTACCACAAATTGATATAGCATGCGTGAGCACACACATTGAATGCGAGAACTGAGATGTTTTTGGTTGAAGATCAACACTTACCATAGAAGATTTAGTTTCATGGGAGTTATTAAGAGTCCTCAAGGGGTGAAGGAATCCTATTGGTATGATGGCTTTGTATTTAATGTATATAATATTAAAAGATTTGGAATTTTCTGGCTTACTAAACTTTTTAATACTATTTTGAAGACTAAAAAGATGCCAGATCAGTGGAGAATGAGTGTGTTAATTCATATTTTTAAGAATAAGGGTGATGCACAGGAGTGTGCGAATTATAGAAGAATTAAGTTAATGTGTCATACTTTAAAACTTTGGGAGCAAGTTCTGGAGCGCAGGTTGCGACGTGATACTAATGTTTCTCAAAATCAATTTGGATTCATGCCGGGTAGGTCTACTATGGAAGTCATACATTTATTGAGAGGTTTGATGGAGAAATATAGAGAGAATAAGGAAGTTCTACATATGATATTTATTGATTTAGAGAAAGCATATGATAAAGTTC